CATGGCCTCAGTGGTCCTTTTGCAAATGACGTGCATCATATCAATTTCATTTTTACCTTCTTTGTTTTTAAAGCCAAAATGCATCCAAGCATCTGACTTGAAATGTGATGGAGCCGCGGGGCGAATTTTTATAGTGTCCTCCATGTTTTATTTCATATGACTCGTCTCAGTATCCCACGGCCGGAAATGCTTGCGACACAAAGCAGCGGGCGTCAACACATCCGCAGCGACATCTGGTGGACTGGAAGTTGTATTCCACTTGGTTTGGCTGATGTGCGGCAACCATTCATGTATTTTATTTGTTCTTTTTTTTTAATTAAGAATCGATTCTTGCCTTCAAGAATCGATGCAGTAGATCACAAAAATTTAAATCGCGATGCATCGTCATGACGATTATTTTGCACACCCTTAGTACGCGCACAGGGGGGAGGGAGAAGCAGACGACCCTGATTGATGTGCCAGGAGCCAATAGTGGACCACGGACCGTGTTTTGTGATTGCTGGGGGTTATTCATTGATTTCTCACTGTAGCGGGGACCTTTTTTTTTCCGTTTCACTTCCAGACCTTCTATTTCACTGCTTGCTGCGCGACTGTGGGGAGACCTTTAAGCCACATGATAAAAATGCATCAGAAAAGATCTCCAACTGCACCTTTAAGGCAGGTTTATACTCAGAAACCAGGTCGTCTGTGTGTGTGTCGCAGTGCAAATGTGCCCCCCTCACCTTCAGCTGTACCTCTCCAAAATTGTAAGTGACAGCAGACAGGAGGCCTCTGATTGGTCAAATCTACATCCGCTCTACACTATGCGTATTTCCTGTTTGCTACCTTACAGGCTTGTTTTGTTTGTATGACCGCCATTGTGGAAAACGACTCATAAAGTTGGACCAGCTAGAAGGGCGAGGTGCGCGGTTTTATACGTACAGTGTGAGCAGGTAGATCAGAGCGTCGGGTCGCACAGTGTGAGAACAAACATCATGAACTGTGAACTTTTAAACCCTGCGGTTTCGGCGTACATTGTGAGCTGTAGCTGCGTGCAAAGATTGAAAACATTGCACAGTGTATGTCTGGCTTTAGTCGATACATCAGGATAAATACTAAGGAGTGAACTGAAACTCTGGCTCCATTAAAGGCTTTTGTCACAGCATGCAGTTCTTTTGGTGAGGCCATCTTTGAACCCACTCTGGTTTGGGTTCAACCTCTTTGACCGTCTTCATTTCAGCCTTTTATAGCCTCTCAATTATCGCACTTTATTTTGATGCGGTCCATTTGTTAAAAAAGCTTTTTTGATGCCTTTTACTAAGGATCAAAAACATCTGCTGTTAGAGCCCCAAAGTGGATATTTTTTTTCAAAGTTAAATATCTATATTTTGTTATATGCTGTGCCTCCTAACAGTAGGTTTTGAAGGCCTGTGAAGCTGCACTACTGAGCCTTTTGTGTAATTTAGAGTTTTAGGTTGGTAATTTTGTAGTTTTCCTGTAATTAATTTTCTTTTAGAAATGGCTACATTCATCTTTTTCTTGTAGGCTTGTTTTGTTTATGTGGCCCTGAGCTCTCTGTGATGTTTTTATCTTTCTTTACAGCAAACAGCTAAAGTTTGGCTTTAATAAACTTCTTGAATGCCAACTGAAATCATCCTTCACTACCTAGATTTATATTAATCTCTTATATCTCTAAGACCATTCTGAGGCTTTCACATCTACCTTATTTAATCAATTGTTTCCTTTATTTTTCTATTTTTAAGAGTTTTAAGGCAGATGTTCTGCTTTGCCTTGACATACACTCACCGGCCACTTTATTAGGTACACCGGTCCAACTGCTCTTTAACACTTAATTTCTAAGCAGCCAATCACATGGCGGCAACTCAGTGCATTTAGGCATGTAGACATGGTCAAGACAATCTCCTGCAGTTCAAAGCGAGCATCAGTATGGGGAAGAAAGGTGATTTGAGTGACTTTGAACGTGGCATGATTGTTGGTGCCAGAAGGGCTGGTCTGAGTATTTCAGAAACTGCTGATCTACTGGGATTTTCACGCACAACCATCTCTAGGGTTTACAGAGAATGGTCCGAAAAAGAAAAAACATCCAGTGAGCGGCAGTTCTGTGGGCGGAAATGCCTTGTTGATGCCAGAGGTCAGAGGAGAATGGCCAGACTGGTTGGAGCTGATAGAAGGGCAACAGTGACTCAAATAACCACCCGTTACAACCAAGGTGGGCAGAAGAGCATCTCTGAACGCACAGTACGTGGAACTTTGAGGCAGATGGGCTACAGCAGCAGAAGACCACACCGGGTGCCACTCCTTTCAGCTAAGAACAGGAAACTGAGGCTACAATTTGCACAAGCTCATGGAAATTGGACAATAGAAGATTGGAAAAACGTTGCCTGGTCTGATGAGTCTGGATTTCTGCTGCGACATTGGGATGGTAGGGTCAGATTTTGGCGTCTACAAGATGAAAGCATGGATCCATCCTGCCTTGTATCAACGGTTCAGGCTGGTGGTGGTGGTGTCATGGTGTGGGGAATATTTTCTTGGCCCTCTTTGGGCCCCTTGGTACCAATTGAGCATCGTTGCAACGCCACAGCCTACCTGAGTATTGTTGCTGACCATGTCCATCCCTTTATGACCACAATGTACCCAACTTCTGATGGCTACTTTCAGCAGGATAATGCGCCATGTCATAAAGCTGGAATCATCTCAGACTGGTTTCTTGAACATGACAATGAGTTCACTGTACTCAAATGGCCTCCACAGTCACCAGATCTCAATCCAATAGAGCATCTTTGGGATGTGGTGGAACGGGAGATTCGCATCATGGATGTGCAGCCGACAAATCTGCGGCAACTGTGTGATGTCATCATGTCAATATGGACCAAACTCCCTGAGGAATGCTTCCAGCACCTTGTTGAATCTATGCCACCAAGAATTGAGGCAGTTCTGAAGGCAAAAGGGGGTCCAACCCGTTACTAGCATGGGGTACCTAATAAAGTGGCCGGTGAGTGTATTTACATACCAGGGAAACAGGAAGTGAATTATTACTAATGACCTGTTCCTAAAACCTCTAGTGAATTCAGCAAAGTTTAATTTAAAGCTTGGTTACTGGGATTGTTGTTAGCAGAGTAAATAACATCGACTAAGATTAAGTTTCCTAAAAAAATGTGTGGGGGAAAAATTTGGGTTAATTTAATTTATGGCTGTTTTGAACCACTTCTTAGGAATGCTGAAGAAAGTGGAGTTAAAAACGATATAAAAAAACCTCTGTTATACAAAATATTGGCTCAATACCAATACTTTCATTAAAGGTTCTGTATTTTTTGGTGGGTTTTTTAAAATGTTGTCCTGTTTGTGCTTTGCCCAGCAGAGAGGGACCTGCGGTGTGTTTCCATTTATCAGCTGGAATATTTTCCCTCCCGTGAACTGATACGAAAAGTCGAAGGACAAACGGCTCTTTGCTGGGAGAAAATAAACAGAGATCCGCTTTAAAAGTACAAGGACAACCAGTGAGTGCTTTGAAACACACAGGGTAATTGCCACTATAATTATTTCTGAGGTGATGGATGAAAAATACCCACATATGCTCTACAGCCGAAATATATTTAAAAAAAATCAGCTGCAACAGTCCTTAAGCTTACATAATCCTACAAATAATGCCACAAACAGATAAAACCCTCACAGCAAAGGGAATGTATATATTTATGTCATTTAAGACTCCGTAGAGCAACATCGATTGAATCGCAGTATATTGATTATTCCTTTTAACTGTATTTTATAGCTGAAATTCTGATAATTTGGTTAAATTACTGTTTATTCTGCATATTTACAACAATTTTGATCAGCACTGCTAACAGAGTCACTAATAACGCTAATAACTGTACAGCAGCAGCACAAATCCTCATACAGTCTCCATTCTGCCATTTCTGAACCTTGACGATCCATTAGTTCATTTCCTTTATGCTCGTCACCTCCCCTCTGCTGCCGCGGTCCGATTTCATTAAATGAAGCCCATTATCAGGCCTCCGCACATGGATTCATTTGATTTAAGCTGAACTTTAAATAAACCTGGCAGGTAGAGAATTGTTGAACCAACCCACACAGAGAGATTAGCGGCGCGGGGCCTCGGAAAAGGTATTAAAACTCCAGAAACTTCAAGCACAACCGGAAACTTTGGAATGAACTTACAAGCAGCGCTTTGAAAATTTAGAATATAGAAAAGCATCATTAGTTGAAAGGGTTTGGTAAAAAAAAAAAAAAAAAAAGTAGTAGTTAACCCTTTAAAGCCCAATCTAATAATAAAACAAAACAGAAAATTACTTTTTATTTTTTTTTTTTATTCCTTATTTGGCCTTTTAACAAAATATGTAAAAAGAAAAAACATTTTTGATATTAATAATTTATTACTATGCGATAAGTAAAGATTATTTTTCGTGTAGTCTTCTACTGGCTGTTATCAGGTATATTTGATTGTGTAAAATATGATTTTGAGCAAAGTTTTTACCATTAAATTATGCAAAAGGTGTCAGACGCATTTCAGAAACAGTATGTATCAAATATGATACATTTGGCATTATAGGGTTAACTATTATTTTCTTTAACTTCTTCTAAAGGTATTTTACTTGAAGAATATGATAAAGAAATAAAGAAAAAAAGGTCTAATATTTTCTTACATGACTTTAAATCTTGTTAGAACTCAAAGTATCTCCTTTCCTTTTATAACAATATGGATTCTATGACTTTTTTTCTTATTAATAATAATTAAACTTTATTGATCTCACATTGGATGAATGAACTCTCTACATTTAACCCATCTCCTTGGGGAGCAGTGGGCTGCCAATGTGCGGCGCCTGGGGAGCAGTGTGGGGTTAAGGGTCTTGCTCAGTGACCCAGAGTGGAGGCTGTGGGGAATCAAACCGGCTACTTTTAACCTTCTCGGAGCAGAAGTGCACGGCTGTCATGATGGGATTAAGGTTCCAAACTCACATGCAGAACACAAACGGAGTCAGATGAAAAGTTTGACTGTTTATTGAAAAAACACAAAGTTAATAAACTTGAAGCTGGGGAAACAGATCCGGGACTGGTCACACAGGGTTCTCTGCAGAGAGGGACAGTTAGGTTAGCCAGGATGCAGATGATCTTGTCAGAGGAGTTGTGCAGGTCTGTACCTGTGATGTGGTTCAGGCTAAGCAGCTGAGGGAGGGAACCAGGAGGGTCCAGAGGCAGATGGTCGGCAGAGGGCTAGGCAACGGCAGGGCTCGACTTCAGACTTGTCAGTGTTTAGGTTCAGAGTTTCTTCCAGTTCTCTTCTTGGGAGCGGACAGGCAGGTTCTGATAGTTTGAGCTCAGCAGACCTTCTGAGAGCAGGCAGGCAGGTTTCAGCTGAGAAACTCTTCCTGAGTTCCAGGGTTCAGTCTGGTTTCTTCCTAAGAAGCAGAGAGGACAAAAACTGGTTAGATTCTGGTTTTCAGGAGACTCAGAGAATCAGACAGGCTGGTTGGCTCAGGCTTGCTAACCATAACTGGCTTAACACTCTGGCACTGGACTGTAGTCCTGCCGCTGCTTAAGTGCTGGTCTCCTGATGAACCAATGAGCCGCAGGTGTGGTCGTCAGCCTTCAGCTCCAGGAGACCTAGGGCGCCCTCTGCTGGAGAAAGGTGGACAGACCTCCAGATCCCAACACTAACCCACTAGGCCAACACTCAGCTTTTTTTTTTGCTTTAATTTTAACATCCTAGTCAATCCAAAAGCATGTGCCAACACATTTAACAAATTTGGTTGAATGCAAATTTTCTCCAGCAGCAAAAAAAAAAAAGTTTTTGTTTGTTTTTCTAGGCCAACAAGATAGAAAAAGTGAATCCATCCTCTAGTTATCTAAGCATGCAGTCGAGTTCAGTTTGTTTTCAAATGAGTGAAAAAATGTTCTAAAGATCCAGCAGATTGCATGGAGTGATTGAGCTGATGGTTCCACTGGTCCTCGATAAGGATGTAGCCACAGAGCAAGCATGTGGCGACAGTGGAAAGGAACTCTCTCCTTTAAAGCGAAGAATGTCCAGCAGAACCAGAACCTGGCTCAGTGTGAGCATCCATCTGCCTCAACGATGTTAGAAAAGAGAACACCTGTCCTTTACTGAGGTAAACATCTAAGACCCTTTATCTATTTACTGGATTTTGGTTCTTTTCTTTGCAAACTTTAGCTCTACATTCTCTTACATAATGGAAATTATTTCAACAACATTGATCTAAACCATCTTATACTGTAGTTGCTCTTCTGTTTATTTCAGGTTGTTTAACTTCTGCCGTAGGTAAACCTTTGCCCATGTCTCAACTTATTGTTGCAAGTTCACAAAACCTCTTTTCGTTTATTGTGATTTTGCTTTGTGGTTTTTGATTTGAGTTCATATTTCTACAATGATCAGCTCAAACCTGCAGCTCATGGACACCATTGCTGTTACAAACTGAATGCACTACAGTCCAAACCGAGGGATTTCTGCAACCTGTTTTTGTTCCACATCCAGCTTGGCTCCATGTAAAACATTTCCACAATCACCAAATGACCGTTAGGGGAGAACTAATGACAGAAAATAGGCAGAGCAGCTGCATGGTGATGCAACAGCAAATGTAGAAAGAGCATAATAACAGAGCATTTTTATCACGCATATTGGAGCAGTGTTGTGTTGAATGAAATGCAAAAGGAGAAAATGTGAGCAAAATGATCTATATCAAAGCATCTAATGGAGCTTATGAGTTCCTGCTGCAAAGTGAGTATAACTGCTTTATAAAATGGAGCTGTGTGAGTGAATCAGGTCCAGAAACCAAAATCTCTTTCCCCATTAGTGACCACAGAAAACATAAGTGAACATTTGCATAAAGGAAAAGATTGAATACAAACTACAAAATCACCAAAATCAAAGATTAAAGAATATAAACTAGACAGAACTATACAGTTAAAAGTAGATATTTGCTGTATGCTAGATTTCCACTCTATATAAAGATTATTTTACTGCCTGGCATTACATTTCCTCTTTTCAGTCATTTTTACCAAAAAATCTCTATATAAATATAACAAAATTTTTATGTTACTTTCTTTAAATTTGCTGATCTATTCCAAAGTGTGCTTAATGACAGGCATGATGTCAGGATCCTCAGAAGGTCTGGTTATCCTTTCCAGATGCGGAAAAATTCACATTCCTCCATGCAAAAAAAAAAAAAAAAGAAGATATGCAAGCATTAAAAGGATGAGATCCTCCTACCTGGGGGGGGCAGAGTAAGTATCCTGGCGAGGAACATGTTTTTGTGCCAAATTTGAAACAAAGCAAAGCATGGAGAGCTTTTGAAGATGCAGGCAGAAGCTGTTAGGATTGTCATTACCCAGAGCGAAAGGAATCCTCCGCCAACATGGGTGTAAAGGTCAAAGAAAGGAGGCGCTGCAACATAAAAGGCTAGAAACAAAGGCTGTAGTTGTGTTAGACATGTCCTGTGATCAGATGAGACAAAAATTATTTGAAAAAAGGACATAAACCTGAAAGCCAACCCTAACTGTAAAGCACAGGGATGGTAGCATCATCCTGCGGGAGTGTTTGACAGGTGAATTTTATAAAAGTGGGGACATCACGAGGAAAGAACATGATGTGAAAACACTCAAATAAAATCTTCTGACTCCAAACTGGAGGTTGTCGATTGGTTGCAAACAGTTCTTCCGAATGGACGAGTCTAAGTTTATGCACACCATGGCTTAAAGGGATATTGCGTAAGAATGACTGCCATCTAGTGGTGAAGTGTGGGCATTGTGCCAAATAAAAGAAAAAACTCGCCATCAGAGCCAGCAGTACTTCACACATGGCTATGCAGAGAGAGGGCTGCTGCAGACGGGCTAAGGTTAGTCCCGGCTACCGCAGACGGGCTAGGATTCGACCGCGCTGCCATTACCCTCGGAGCGCCTCAGGTTGCTGCGGTCCTCTCAACTTCGAAAATTTATTTTAAAATTAGTAAATTACTAAATCAGTCAATGGGCCATATAGTGATGCTTAAAGTGTAAATTTCTTGCCTCAAATGATTTTTAAACTTACTTTTATTCAATAACAGCAACAGAAAAGAGAACTTTTAATACTCTGTGGGCCGGATCTATCAAAGGTTTGCGTGTATAAAAACGTGAGCTATTTTACTGTGCACGCTAAAAAATGTACAAACTGATCTATCAACAGCGTGCTAAAAGGATTTGGTCTTTAAAACGTGCTAAATAGCGCCTCTTATCCATTTAGTACTTTTTCTGCAATGAATATGCAATAGGGGGCGTTTACACGCAAAAGTGCGTCTTGTGGGAGGAGAACATGTAAATATATTAATTTAGCACTCGCAAAGTGATTTATTAAACCTGAAAGCAATTTTGCTAACGGTATCTGACTCTATATTTAACACGTTTCAAAAGAAGGTGCAAATGGTCTGTATGCGTAATTGCGCACACATGGCAGCGGTTATTGTCGCAAGAAGGAGACATGGAAATGAAGCAAGGAGACGCAGAGAACGCATTTTTTCACTCCGTGTGAATATTTTTGGAATGAACGAGGAAACGATCATCAAAACATATCGTTTATCCAGCATTGCCATTTTGGAGCTGTTGGGGGAACTCCGAATCGATTTGGAGCCAGCCACAAGGAGGACCCACGCAATACCAGATATCACTAAACTCCTTGCAACGTTGCACTTTTTGCATCTGGGTCATTCCAGCGTACCGTTGCAGCGAGAGCTGGGATCTCCCAATCTCGTTTTTCAGAAGTGCTGTCCTCGGGGTCGGCGTTCTCCCCCTGCGCCTGTGGAGCAACCTGCCAAATGCTGCGGGTATGAGCCATTTTGTATGTGCATTTTTCTACAGGCCAATACAAAACACCTGTTTTTTGTGTGTTTTTTTTTAACTGCAGTGAAGTAGAAATTCAGCCACATACCACCTTAGGGAATAAAGGTTGCCAAAGTGTTTATATATATATATATATATATATATATATATATATATATATATATATATATATATATATATATATATATATTTATTTTTTTATTTATTTTTTGGTGGGGGTGTCACTGTAAGATTTAAATTTCTTAATGCAGTAGTTTGCACAAACTACAAACTACTTTGCCGCAAACCACAAAACGCGCAAAACCATCATTTAAATAGGCCGTCTCCAACAGTTTTGCACCTTCCACCAGTTACGCAATCGCTCTTGTTAAATCACCCGCAAACCATGGTTCAGCCCCTCGCGCAAAATTCCAGTTTGCGAGCGCAAATTACTGCACGCAAAATTGGATCTTGATAAATCCGGCCCTATGAGCGCTAACCTGGAAGCTGCTGCTGCCGCAGTGCATGCTGGGAAAGCTGTCAGTCTAGAGAACGGACAAATCTGCTCTGATGCATGCTGGGTAAAGAGGGAGGGAGAACTTTGTCCATTCTCCGTCTTCTAGTTTTCGTGAATTAGAACAGTACTAGGGCTGAGGCTGATGACGTTTCACAAGCACACGAGAACGCACAAGTACACTTTGTGAGAAACTGCCTTATTCTGATTTATTGTTAGTTGATGAGATTTTACAGTGTTTACAGATATTTATATATCTGCGTAAAACTGTTACAAAAACCTGTCAAAAAAGTTATTCAAATTCTGGCCTGAGAAACATGAGTCTCATGTCGAAAGCTGAAAAGAAAAAAGAAATCTGGCTTCATTGAATCAAAGTGGAATGAAAATGGATGGAAGAAAGTTAAAACAGACCCACGAGAGTGAAACTGATGCAACGACGGACGTATATGAACGAGGTGAACCACAAGATCCACAGCAGGCTGCAGGGACCACAAACACATGACTGAGCTGCTGGGGGTCTGCCTGCAGATCTTCCTCCTCTGCAGCATGTCTCCCATAGCACCTCATCTTTGGACCCGGATCCAGCCCCGAAGATGTTGCGTGACGCATTTCCAAGCGCATCAACGGGCCTTTACTTAATTGTCCAAATCATTCTCTGCTGGCTCTGGACTCAGGCCGGTTTCAGCTTGCAGCTTTAGCCTCCATGGAGCGAAGCCAGTGCCGTGGATTAGAGTTTGGAGCTGATGAGTTTGGACAGATTTCAGTGAGAGGCAGCTGATCAAGCGATCATTCTCTCAACACAACCGACTGGACACACAATCTGAGGCTCTTTCATGTGTCACAGGCAAATATCTAACTGTCCCTGAACTCTCACATGAACCTTTCAGGATTACTCTTTCCTCTTAGTGGGTGGAAGATTTATTTGATTCCATTTGTGAGCAATATAGGCTTAATCCTGGAATAAATAAAGCTGTTCTCCAAAAAAACTCAGAACTCTGTAAATGAATAGAAACTACAGCATAATGAAGGGGGATGTGGAGGAATAATAAAGCAGGTTCTAGAACAATATCG